ACGCATCTTTTGGATTCATTCTATGTATTATAGTTATCGAGTAAATCAATGAAATGAAAAAAAAAATATTTTTCGAGCATTTTTTAAATTTTGAACACGAATTACAGCCAAACGACTCAAACCACAGTAATATATCGATACTTGCTGAATTCCCCAAACATACAGCTTTCATATGCATCTTTTGGATTTATTCTACGTATTATAGTTTTCAAGTAAATCAATGAAATGTAAAAACACTGCTTTTTTGAGCATTTTTTTAAATTTGAACACGAATTACAGCCAAACGGCTAAAACCACAGTAATATATCGATACTTTCTATATTCCACAAACATTAAGCTTTCATACGCATCTTTTGGATTAATTCTATGTATTATAGTTTTCGAGTAAATCAATGAAATGTAAAAACACTGCTTTTTTGAGCATTTTTTAAACTTTGAACACGAATTACAGCCAAACGACTCAAACCACAGTAATATATCGATACTTTCTAGATTTCCCAAACCAGGTATTATAATATTGTTAAAGAAATAAATATTAATAAGAACAGTGGAACCTCGCTTAACAAGTTTAAAATTTCTGTATTTTTAACAATTTTCTCCATATAAAGTAATGTAATAATATATGTCGGTGTATCTAAGACAACAACACATGATGAAACATCGTGCAGCGATACAAAGCAGAGCCAAATAACATTGTCAGCCCTTGGGAGAACAAGGAGTTTGTATGATCGGTGCAGCACATCTTCAGGGTCTTCAGGGAAAGTAGGTATTTCCCCCGGAGGAGTGAGAGTGGAATACTTCAGCCAAAGGATCAGCGAGGATGGAGGCATTCAGATTGGTGAACTGGAAGGCCACAGTTGCTGAGACTTAACGCTGATTTAGATCACTGGCTTTGAGATTGCAGAAGGATTAATTTACTAAGTTTATTAACTATTATTAGTGGTTGTTTGTAATAATGGCTTCTCCAAACGCTTCACTTCCATTGAGTTCCATTTTGCAAGTCATTTTTCTTACAATTTATTTGTCTCGTTAAGCGAAATACTCGTTATGCGAGGTGCTCGTTCCACTGTATTACATTTTCCAAAAATAAAACTGTTAATAAAGGTTGATTCTCATGAAAATCGATTGAAATTTCAATCTCCGATTACCATTTGAAGCCCGTTCTTCTTTGGTCCCTTCATAGTCCCAAGGCGTATTTAATCATACCTCAATTTACTATGATTAAGTGAACTTCTAGAACGGCCACGGTAATTGGCTTTCAGGAGATGCGAGGCATTATCCCTTGAACAATTTCCACACGGTTCAATATTTATTCAATACAAAACACGTTGCTTCAAAAGCTTCGAACGTCAAAGACAAAAAAAAAATGTAAATTTCTCAGTGGAAATTCTTAGCTTATTTTATTTTTTGTTCTTGAAATATTTAAGGAAACATTTTATTTTTGCGCGATATAAAATACACGCTTTATATGAAACTTACGTCTAAGAAAATTAAGAATTATTGCTGCGAGATCTATTAGGTCCCAGAGATTGCGCGCATCAATATCAATTACATCTGCGATTTCGTAATCATTTTTCACTTTATCGGACACTCGCAGCTCTCAGATCAATCATCTTTTTCCACGGTCTAGACTCTAGAAGGAATTAATCGATTGTCACTCAATCGCTAAGGAAAAAATATACAGTTTCAACTATCATTATTTTGATTTGTTTACAATTCAATTTCGTACTGATTATTAAATACGTAACAATAAAAGTTATTTCACTTGAAGAAGCGATGCTTTGAAGATAAAGAAAAACGTATATTGTTATGCAAGGATGAATGTTCTCTAGTATTTTTGTACACAAGAAATTCCCATCTAAATGTATTATGAAGAAGGAAAAAGCTTTTTCTGTAGGTGGAAGTATTTTTGAGAATGGAATTTACTTTCCGGACGTCGCATCCGTATATACAAATGTACTCTTGCATGTCACCAGAAGCTCTCTCGCTATGATGTTTACATCGTTCCGCTTTTCCGCAAATTCCTTCATTCTGTTCACGTGTAAACAATTTCCCCTCGGACCAATATCGGCCTATTTATCTGGTGACCGCGCACGCCACGCAACAATTATTATTAAAATTAATCCAATTTCTTTAATCGATTCCGAAGGAAATGCACGAAACGCATTTACATTTCGCTTGCGACGCATGTAAAAATTCAATTAGATGTAAATAAACATATACTAAAACTTTTCAATTAAATGTTTCGCTTTAAGTAAGTATCAACTTTAATTAACGAAACTCCACATATTTTATATACCCAATTTACTTGAGTTTCAAAAGAAAAATGTATCTCGCACATTTAATTATATAAATATAACACTAATTATATAATTATGTTAATCTTCATTTCGCATGATTTTTCTTCTCTCCAAATGTACAGACTTATTTCAGTAATTTTAACACAGTTCAATTCGTTAATTGTCACTGGGATATTTCTATTTTTGTTGATAATTTTCATAAAAGTCTAAGGTAAGTAAATGAATTTCTTTAAACACTACTTCTATATGTAATTATATTGCATTTTCGTTACTTTATTTACAGTTTAATGGTTTTTAAATATTGATCAAAGATTTCAATTATCAATAATTAATATTTCAATTGTTGATGATATGAAATTAATTCATTAGTTTCTTATGTTTTAAGTCTATAATGACTGAAATAATTTGAATTTCCAAGCTAAATTATTTTGTGTTTTATTCTACTTTTGAAGACTTTTCTTAAATGGGAAATTACGAAATGGAAAATGTAAGAATTTTGTATTTTTGAGTATTCCGATGATGAAACTTTTCTGACATTCTCTTAATTGGAGACAGTACTTATAACCTCCATTATATCATAAGGTCAGATATTACTTGAGTTAAATACCGCAGCTCTTGAAAAATAATTATCTCCACTTGTTGTATCGATTTTAAAAATAGTCGGTGTATATTTAGTTGCCTATCGCAACAAGTGTTAGAATTCAAATTGCACCGTACCTTTATGATCCTGTAAGGACTTTCCGTCATCAGACAGATGCCCGGAGCGCCTCCACCTGCGGGCGCCTTCTTTCCACCTTTCCCCTTTCCCGCCTTCTCCGGCGGTTTCTTCTTCTCCGCCTCCTGCTTCTTGTCTTCGGCCTTCTTGGCCGGCGGCGGTTTCTGCACGGAAACGCTCGACGGAAGCATCGTCTGCAGCTCGACCGGTTCACCGGGTGCGCTCTTCAGCCAGTGCCGGATTCCCTTGATGGTCGTCCAGAACCAACCCTGAAACACCAACCAAAAGAGAAAAAAAACGCTGAACAGGTGAGCGAGCCGACGCGACGCTCGAAGGGCTCTCACGTGTATGTAATAGAGCACTTTCATGAATAACCGGATGCCGTTCGCGTTCATCTTATCGTTTTTTTGTTCTTTGCTATATCGTTTTGTGTTATATTTATTGTTTTTGTTGTTGGGAAACTGCTGCAATGATGCGAGCAGACGACTACCCACTAAAAATGTTATCATCGTCATAGTCCACGTTCGATAGATTAATTTGTTTAATGCGCGATGTGCACACACACACACATAAAGTATACGTGACGACGCGAGGAGGATGATGTGAGAACCCCACATATTTACCTTTCTTAATGAATTAATCCGACCCACGTGTTTTTAAGTAACTATACTTTAATCTACTTAATAGAAGTCACCTATCTTCCATCATCGATCCCATCCACCAAAATCACTTCACCAAGATTGATTTATTATGCATTAAATAATGTGATCAAGTACTCAATCATGAAAATTATAAATATAAAAAGTGACTGAAATTGGTATCTATTTACTGAATTATGAAAAATATTCAGTTTTCGTATGTAATTTTGTAATGTTATAAAAAAGTCACTGAAATGTATATATTTTATGTAAAAATCTTTAGTTTTTTTTTCATAAAGTTTTGAAATGTACAAAAACATTTACTGAAATTCACATCTATTTCTCGAATTAAGTAAAATCTACAGTATTTCCATAAAGAGTTTGTTATAACAAAAGTTACTGAAATTTGTACCTTTTATGTAAAAAATCTTCAGTTTTCCAAAAGAATTTGAAATATTATAAAAAAACGTATCTATTTTTCGAATCATGTAAAATCTACAGTTTTTATATAAAAATTTAAAATTTTATAAGAAAAGTTACTGAAATTGGTATATTTTTTTTGAATTAGGCTTTGGTTTTTTCATAAAATTTTGAATTGTTATAAAAATGTAACTGAAATTAGTATTTACTTTTCGAATTATGTAAAATCTATAGTTTTTTTCATAAAAATTTGAATTGTTATAAAAAAAGTTAGTGAAATTGGCATCAATTTTTCTAATTAGGTTTAATCTTCAGTTTTCCAATAAAATTTTGAAATGTTATAAAAAAGCTTTTATATAAAAATCTTTAGTTTTTTTTCATAAAGTTTTGATTGAAATTACTGAAATTCATATTCATTTCTCGAATTATGTAAAATCTACAGTATTTCCATAAAAAGTTGAATTGTTATATAACAAAGTTAATGAAATTTGTAATATTACAAAAACCTTATTAAAATCCATATCTATTGCTCGAATTATGTAAAATCTACAGTTTTTCTATAAAAAATTAAAATTTTATAAAAAAAGTTACTGAAATTGGTATCAATTTTTTGAATTAGGTTTAATCTTCGATTTTTTTCATAAAATTTTGAAATATTATAAAAATGTAACTGAAATTAGTATCTACTTTTCGAATTATGTAAAATCAACAGTTTTTCCATAAAAATTTTAATTGTTATAAAAAAAAGTTACTGAAATTTGTACCTTCTATGGAAAAAATCATCAGTTTTCCAATAAAACTTTTAAATATTACAAAAACCTTATTAAAATCCGTATCTATTTCTCAAATTATGTAAAATCTAAAGTTTTTCTATAAAAAATTAAAATTTTATAAAAAAAGTTACTGAAATTGGAATCAATTTTTTGAATTAGGTTTAATCTTCGGTTTTTTTTCATAAAATTTTGAAATATTATAAAAATGTAACTGAAATTAGTATCTACTTTTCGAATTATGTAAAATCAACAGTTTTTCCATAAAAATTTTAATTGTTATAAAAAAAAGTTACTGAAATTTGTACCTTCTATGGAAAAAATCTTCAGTTTTCCAATCAAACTTTTAAATATTACAAAAACCTTATTAAAATCCGTATCTATTTTTCGAATTATGTAAAATCTACAGTTTTTCTATTAAAAAATTAAAATTTTATAAGAAAAGTTACTGAAATTGGTATTAATTTTTTGAATTAGATTTAATCTTCGGTTTTTTTTTTCATAAAATTTTGAAATATTATAAAAATGTAACTGAAATTAATATCTAAATTTTGAATTATGAAAAATCTACAGTTTTTCCATAGAAATTTGAATTGTTATCAAAAAAGTTACTGAAATTGGCATCAATTTTTCTAATTAGGTTTAATTTTTTAGTTTTTTTCATATAATTTAGAAATGTTATGAAAAACTTACTGAAATTTGTATCTACTATTCCAAAAATGTAAAATCTTTAGTTTTCCAATAAAATTTTGAAATTTTATAAAAAAATTACTGAACTTGGTATCAATTTCTCAAACTTTTGTAAAATCTACAGTTTAGTCATAACATTTTGAAATATTATATAAATATAAAATTTTATTTTTTTTATTCTTTCAATTTTTTTTTATTTTTCTACTTTCAAAGAAAAGAAAAGTCAAGAAGTCAAAGAAGTAAAAAATTCAAATTAACAGCGTATAAATCTTAAATATTTGAAATATTTGGAACGGCCACAAATCTTTTGATATTGATTTTGGCACATTCGAGATCTAAATTTAGGGAAAATAAGTTCAAATTAATGAAAAATCTTAAAAAAAACGTATTTGTAAGAAAGCATGAAATTAACGAATTTATAATATTATTTGTATTAAAAATATTGATAATATTATATAAAATCATTTACTTGAAAGATCTTTGTGTATATTTTATGAGAAACAATGTATTGTATTCTTTCTACATTTAGTTTATTTAGACTTTTGTACTACTAGTACTAGATTATTGAAAATCCAGGTGTAATGATGCTAGGATTACATTTTTGCGTGATGTAATCATCATCATCATTGTTTTTCTCTCATCGTTGTATTTTGTGTGTGTGTGTCTGTTGTTGGTTTGTGATTTGCATGGAAATTATTCTGATTAAATGTAATTATCGCGATAACTATCTTGTCATGTGCACACAGATGACAGTAATAGAAGAAGGCAATCATCGCCATATGGCGCCTCTCGAAAAGAGGCGATAAGCTGCAATCGCTGCGAAACGCGAATGGAAAATACGTACATTTTTTTTCCTCTCTTTCTCCCCGTGAATTGTTATTCGCTGTGACTTACGAAAGGGCCTTGTTTGGGTTGCTGCTGCTGCTTCTCAGCTTCGGCCTGCTTTTCTGCGTTCTTCTCATCCGGACTTTTCTTCTTCTCCGGCTCCTCCACCGAATTGGGAATGACGTTGATGATGGGCGTCGATGGGCTGATCTGGACCGGAACCTGTTGAGTGTCTATCCGCCAGTTCCGGATCAGCTCGATGAAGTAGAACACGTTTGGCATCTCCAGCTTGCCCCACGTGTCTTCCCTTTGCAGGGATACTCTGCAAACGAAAACAACTTTGTACTTTGTTGTGTTCAGATGATGACCAGATGTCTGCTTGGACTGTTGGAATAAATTCCGCCTCGCTCTCGCATACACGAAATGATGTATCGATTGGCAATGTTAATAAAGAGAATAGAAGACAATGAATAATTCCCGACATTTCACACGCGACCGATTCACATCTCTTGAGATTTATTATTTACCATTTTCATCCACTTCAGCTTAATTTCGACGAGTACTTCAATCTCCTAGAGTTCTTCTATATACTGTTAACAAATTTCTTTACTTTCTTCGTACCTCAATCTTAAATTTCAATTATGACAACAACATAAAAACTTGCTACATTTATACGTAGTTTATTTCAAATTTTGTATCATCAACAAATTGAACATTGAAGCACATATACATTTTGATCACAAGTTAATCCATATTTTAATAATTAAAAACGATGGTTTAACACAATTTTGATAACAACCACTAAGTTTTCATAGATATTGTTTTAAATGGATATTGGAAGTTTTTATATCATTTCTCAATTCATAAATTATCTAATATTTTTCTTTGTAAATTTCTTGAAAATGTATATTAAACTATTTGAATATCACTTCTTAAAGTAAAGTAAGTTCTAAAGGAAACTAAATATTATGTTGGCCGTTCAGTTGAAATAGACAAAGCGCAAAGCTTTTGTAACATAAGTTCATGAAACTCTATTGGATTCTTGTTTTGCAAAGCCATAAGT